CTTCTGCTACCCTGAATATTTTAGCACTCATATGAGTGACCCCTCGTTAGTATTCTCTCTGTGTAGTTGGGCCTGAAGGTAATATAATAACATGGGAGTGAACACTGCATAACGTCTCTGAAATAAACAGGTAAGGACAGGAGGGCATCTTTGCCAGTCCTCCAGTTTAAAGTTTTTGCAAGGCAAGTGGTGGATGGTTTGTCGGCCAATGTAGATTGGTTTACAGCTGGAGGTCTCAATTCTGTTACTCTCTCAGTGAATGAAAGTCTCTTCACTGAGGTTCCACTTTCCTGTCTATAAAAACTAACTGGATGGTGTTGCTCAGCTTGAGATGAAAATCAACCAGTTGAGAGAATGGGTATATCTGAGAACTTACTAGGAGCCAGGTCCTATCTTAAACTCTTTTAAATGAGTTGTCTCATTTGTTGTTCATAAGGTAGGTGCTATTATTACTTATATTTTATGGGTTAAAAAAAAAACCGAGGCTTAGAGAGGTTAAGTGACTTGTCATAGTCACACAAATGGTACAGAGTAGAGCTGGCATTCAAACCCAGGTCTGTTGGACACCAGCATCTGTTGCCATAACCATATCACCAGTATTTCTTGTGTGAGTGGTAGATCACCCTGTGGGCTTGGTAAGTGTAGAATCCTGGGTCCCACACTCCTGCCCCACTGACTCAGACTTTCTGAGACTGAGCCTGGAAATTCATACCTTAACAAGAGCAGCATAAAGTATGACAATCACTGGATCTCATGATATTGCCTCTAAATGACTGCAAAGCATTCTGCTGGTGTGCATATGTAGTACTGACAACTCCCTTAAGCCAAAGTTAGTCTAAGTTCTAGGATTTCATAAATAAAAATAAGTAGATGATTATTATAATTATGCAACCTTCTGTAATTTCAAAAGTCCTTTAATGTGTCGGCCACATGGGTAGAATGAAGATTAAATGAGAAGTGAGCAAATGGAAAAAGCATGTGCAGCGTAGCAGTGTAATAAAGTGTATAATGGTCAGCATTCCTTTGTGTAGGACAACATCCAGACTAATTTATTTCAGGAGAAAGAGATTTTTTTAAAAATAGGATATTAAATTGTCAATAGAATCATTAGGAGAGCTGGAGAAACAGTCTTTGACTATGTCCAGGAATGACCCCCAAAATCACTCCACAGAACTGGGCCTAGGAAGCAGTTACTTTTGCCATGATCAGGAAGCTGCCTGTGCAGTGTACATTATCTGAGTGATGGAGACACTAAAGACTCTGCCTTGACCACCATGAAATCTATGCATACCAGCCTAGGCAACATAGCAAGACCTGTCTCTACATCTGGGCATGTGGTGTGTGTCTGTAGTCCCAACTACTCAGGAGGCTAAGACGAAGAGATTACCTGAGCCCAGAAGGTCAAGCCTGCAGTGAGCCATGACTGTGTTCCAGACTGGGTGACAGAGTGAGATCTCAACTCCAAAAAAAGATAGAAGGCAGGAAGGAAGGAAAAAGAGAGAGGGAGGGAGAGGGAGAGGGAAGGGAGGGAGAGGAAGGGAGGGAGGGGGAGAAAGAAATTAAATAAATAAATCTATGCATGTAATGAAATGGTACTTGTACCCCACACATTTATACAAATTAAAAAAAAATTCACCATAGCCTCAAAAAAAAGAGAAATACCTCAGCATATTCCTAACCAGAGAAATGAAAGACCTTTACAATGAGAACTACAAAACACTGCTCAAAGACATCCAAGAGGACACAAACAAATGGAAAAATATTCCATGCTGATGGATAGGAAGAATCAACACTATTAAGATATCCATCCTACCAAAAGCAATCTACAGATTCAATGCAATACCCATTAAATTGCCAACATCATTCTTCTCAGACCTGGAAATGACAATACAGAAATTCGTATGGAAACATGAATGACCACAAATAGCCAAAACAATCCTTAGCAAAAGAAACAAAGTGGGAGGTATCACACTTCCAGACTTTAAACTTTACTATAAGGCTACAATAATCAAAACAGCCTGGTATTGGAACAGGAATAGGCATATGAACCAATGGAACAGGGTAGAGATTCCAGAAGCAAAACCTCAATTTCCCAACCAACTTTGTCTTCGACAAAGCATCCACCACTGGGAAGAGGAGAACCTATTCGGTCAATGCAAAGGATTGAAACAGGACCCCTACCTATCACCATACACAAACATCAACTCTAGATGGGTCAAAGACCTAAACATAAAGCCTCAATCTATAAGAATCTTAGAAAGTGCAGGAGACACCGTTATGGAAATTGGAACTAGCAACCAATTCCTGCTCAAAAGCCCAAGAACCCATGCCATAAGAGATAAGATAGACAAGTGGGACCTCATCAAACTGAAAAGCTTCTGCACAGCCAAAAAAAATTATCAAGAGAGCGGGGAGACAGCCCACAGAATGGGAGAAAATATTTGCCAACTGTGTATCTGACAAAGGCTTAACATCCAGAATCTACAAGAAACTCAGATGTGCTGAAAGGGAAAAAACAAACAGCCCCATTAAAAAGTGGGCAAAAGATATGAATAGATACTTCTCAGAAGAAGATATACAGGTAGCCAACAGACACATGAAAAAGTACTCAGCCTCACTAATCATCAGAGAAATGTAAGAATGGCCATCATTAATAAAACAAGCAACAACAGATGCTGGCGAGAATGTGGAGAAAAAGGAACACTTCTACACTGCTGGCAGGAATGCAAACTAGTTCAGCCTCTTTGGAAAACAATGTGGCAATTTCTAAAATAATTAGACATTGACCTTCCATACAACCCAGCAATCCCCCTACTGGGAATATACCTGGAGGAATTCAAATCATTCTACAAAAAAGAAACTTACATACCCATGTTTATTGCAGCACCATTGATAATAGCAAAAACATGCTGCCCATCAAAACTGGACTGGATTTAAAAAGTATGGTACATATACACAATGGAATAGTACATAGCCCTAAAGAAGGACAGACATATGGACTTCTCAGCAACTTGGATGGATTTAGAGTCTATCATACTCAGTGATCTATCACAGAAACAAAGAACAGAGTACCACAGTTCTCACTCATAAGCAAACCCTGATCATTTACCATAATACTATAAGAAAGGATTTGGCAGTAGCAGGATACTGCCAGGGTGGAGGATGAGAGAATACAATATCAATAAGGGTACCTGATATCAAATCAGGCAATGTGGGGACCTAAGAGAGGCCCAAACTTTACCTGTATTATGGCCAATTGTATACCTAATCCTAAATTGTGTACAACATCTTTAAAATAAAATAAATAAATACTTTTTTTAAAAAGAAGAAAGCTGCCTATGAATGGCACAGGGAGAACAGAGGATGAGGATGGAGCCTTGGGGTTAGAGAGTGATCTGAAATGAAGCCCGCAAGGGGGTCAGCAAGGAACGATTGGGGAAACTCAGAAAAGAAGAACAAGGAAGCAGGGAGTTTCAAAAAGACAGACGTGAACAATGTCATTATATACAGTAAGAAGACCATTTAAAAAAAATTTTTTTTCTAGTACTATGTTGAATAGAATGTTTTTTTGTTTTTCTGAGTCAGGGTCTCACTCTGTGGCCCAGGCTGGAGTGCAGTGGCATGATCATGGCTTACCACAGTCTCAACCTCCTGGGCTTAAGCGATTCTCCAATCTCAGCCTCCCAAGTAGTTGGAACTATAGGCACACACCACAACACCTAGCTAATTTTTTAATTTTTGGTAGTGATGAGGTCTCATTATATTGCCCAGGCTGGTCTCAAACACCTAGGCTCAAGCAATCTTCCCTCCTCAGCCTCCCAAAGTGCTGGGATTATAGGCATGAGCCATCATGCCTGGCCAAGAAAAATACATTTTTTAAGACATGGATAATTGATCTTGACAACTAGGTGACTTTTGTTAGGTTGGTTAGCGAGTTTTGCCAGCACAGTTTCAGGGGAATGGTGGGGAAAGCAGCTACAAGGGTGTAATGAAGACTAAATGGGAAATGAGTAAATGGAAACAGCACATGCAGCAGAACCAGCCCTTTCAAGAAGTTGAACTGAGATAGATGGGACACAAGGCTGTGGCTGGAGATGCCTCTAGTTTGGGGAATTGTTTATTTGTAGGTTTTTATTTTATTTTATTTTTATTATTTTAATTTTTTTTTTTTTTGAGTTAGAGTCTCACTCTGTCGCCCAGACCGGAGTGCAGTGGCCGCTCCCGGCCACCGCAGCCTTGACCTGCTGGGCTCCGGCGATCCTTCCGCCTCAGCCTTCCAAGTAGCCGGAATTACAGGCATGCGCTACCATACCCGGCTGATTTTTTGATTTATTGTAAAGATGAGGTCTCGCTGCCCAGGCGGGTCTCAAACCCGCGGGCTCAGGCAATCCACTCACCTCAGCCTCCCAAAGGCGCGGGATTACAGGCTGTGCCACCGAGCCTGGCTTGTAGTTTTATTTTTTATTTGTTTGTTAAGATGAGAGAAACTTGAGCATAGTAGTAGAGTCACTTGAAAGAGAAGTTAATCGATGGGTCAGTGTTATGAAAGTCATAGGACAGGGGTCGAGGACTAGAAGGAGGGGTTGGCCTGGAACACAAGAGGCCAACTCCTCCTTCTCCTCCATCAAGTCCGCAGAAGCCTAAATCATGGTCCTGATTTTCTCCTTGAAATCATTGAGGCCACCTGCTGGGGAGGAAGGGATAGATCCTAAGTGTGGCGCTGGAGAGAAAGTGCAGGTTTTGCAGCAGCCACTGCCAAGCACAGGTGAAAGGACTGTGAGTCAAGAACCTTGCCAGCCCAGGTAAAATCGGAAATGGTGAACTTGAGGTGGGTCAACCTTCCCAAATATTGGGTAATTCAGTGCAGCAGCCTCAGACCGGAGTGCAGAGGTAGGTCCCGGGGCTGCTCCAAGATGGAGCCTGACTCCCAGGTGAGTCTGGGGATGGACTCTGGGCTCAGGTCTGCTCACTAAACTTGATGTGTCCCATCTGTGAGGCAGGTGCCGCAATCAGGAACCCTGAAGCTGTCCCACCTCCAGGAAGGAATGTACACCTTCCAGCTGACTGTGACGGACACAGGCGGGCAGAGAAGTTCTGACAATGTGTCAGTGACTGTGCTCCCTGCAGCCTACTCCACGGGAGGTAAGAGGAGAGTCCTTCCTGTGCACCTGCTGGGGCCAGCTGAAGCCTGGCTGTTGATGGGAGGATGGGGTTGGACTGGTATTTCTTATTGTCTGCACCCTGTGGATGCTTCCATTTTATTTTTAGTTGTTGAATAAGAGTCTTTACTAAAAACAATAACAAAAACAGACTTCACTTTACTTTGGGATAAGTTGACACTGCTGGGTTAAGGTAAAAGGGACATTCCTAGGCTGGGCGCCATGGCTCAAGCCTGTAATCCCAGCAATTTGGGAGGCTGAGGTGAGAGGATTGCCTGAGCTCAGGGGTTTGAGAACAGCCTGGGCAATTTAGTGAGACCTCATCTCTACAATAAATAAACAAATAAGCCGGGTATGGTAGCGCGTGCCTGTAGTTCCAGCTACTTGGAAGGCTGAGGCAGAAGGATCACCTGGGCCCAGCAGGTCAAGGCTGCAGTAGCCGTGAGCATGTCACTGTACTCCAGCCTAAGCAACGGAGTAAGACTCTGACTCAAAAAAAAGAAAGAAAGAAAGAAAGGACATTCCCAGGAATGAGGATAGACTTTGTGAGCTGCTGGACCCTGTAGACACTCCATCTTTTCTTGACTTGCCTTCATAAAAGACAGTTATCTGATTTTCCCAGGAGACAATTTTGTTTTAAAGACAGATGGCCTATTTGATACATGTGTTCAACTAGTACAGCTATGGAGTGCAATTAAAACAGTCAGAGTCATAGAAGTAAAGAGTAGAATGGTGGTTATTAGAGGCTGGGAGCATGGAAGGGGAAGGGGAGATGTTGGTTAAAGGGTACAAAGTTGCTAAACATATAAAGTGTAAATAAATGTTCTCATTACAAAAAAGTGACAAGTAGGTTTGGTGATGGTTATGTTAATTAACTTGATTTCATTCTACAATGTGTACATATATCAGAACATCACATTGTATCCCATAAATATACACTATAATTTTTTGTCAATTAAAAAATTTGGCCAGGCATGTGACTCACACCTGTAATTCTAGCACTTTGGGAAGCCAAGGTTGGAGGATTGCTTGAGTCCAGGAGTTTGGGCAATATAGTGAGACCTCGTTTCTACAAAAAAGTTAGCCAGGTATGTTGGCATGTGCCTGTAGTCCTAGCTACTTGGGAGGCTGAGGCAGGAGGATCACTTGAGCCCAGGAGTTCAAGGCTGTGGCGAAGCATGATTGTATCACTGCACTGCAGTCTGCATGATAGCATGAGACCCTGACTCAAGAAAAAACAGATAAAAGACATACCATAGAATTGAAGAAAATTGACTTTTGGATGTAGTGATATAATAAATCATTTCAAAAATTGTAAGAAAGATAAAAAAAGGATGCAGCTAAGAATATACTTAAAATATACAAAGTACATATGTCAATTTAAAATCACTAACTTTAAAATGTCCACTTTATCCATCATTTGCCCTTAAAATTCACTGCAGTTATATCTTACTCTTAGTAGACTATCTTGCAAGCTCAATTTTAAAAAGTTAAGGTGTTTTAACAGCTTGATAGGTTGTTTTGCGTTATGTGGTGCATATGATTTCAAACTTCCCTTAGCCCAAGTACCCACATGCATAGAAGGCATAAACTCTTATTGTTTGTTGGGTTCTCTCTTTGGCAACCAGTTTCATTTGTATTCCCCAAGCAGCAGAGCACTTTACAAAAGTGTATGTTTGTTTCCAAATTCTGTATTTTTGCATATGTTCAGAGCATCGTTATTAAGTATATTAGCATACTTAAAGGAAATATAAGAAGCTATTCTTAGAAGAATGCACAATAATTGTATGAAACTAAAGGACTCTTGTTAGAAGGAAAAAATAAAATAAAATGTCCACTTTACACAGATGCATAGATATATTAATAATATGATTTAAAATACATACAGTATGATAGTTCTCGCATTCCTTTGCACAGTATAAAACTCATGTATTTCACTAATCTGTGTTCTTACTTTCCCAAACATTTACATTTCTAAGATTAGCTCATCAAATTTTAAACAATATTCATTATATGGAACTTGGCAGCACCTAAGATATTGTGATATTGTGGAGGGAAACTTCCCCATGATTCACTTCTGGAAAAGTGCTGGTAGTATACATTAGAAGATCCTCTTAGTGTCTGCAGTGTGCAGGAACCTTGCCAGGCACTCAGTGGATGTGGCCCCTATCCTCCTACAGCTTATAGTGTCACACAGCTTTGCCGTCACTAGCTATGACTCTAGTAAACTTGCAGAAAGTCTCTGACACTTTTTTTAAGTGGGAGGCTCACTCCATCGCCCAGGCTGGAGTGCAGTGGCCCGCATGCTCACGGCTACCCTAGCATCGCCCTGCTGGGCTCAGACCATCCTTCCACTTCAGCCTTCCAAGTAGCCAGAACTACAGATGTACCCTACCACACCCGGCTACTTTTTTGATTTATTGTAGAGGTGAGGCCTCTCCAAGTTGCCTGAGCTGTTCTTGAACCCATGGGCTCAGGCAATCCTCTCACCTCGGCCCTCTGACACCTTTGAAGATTCAGTATTCAATACCCAGTATTGGAAGATGACTGATTTACTTGTACAATGATGGATCCAGTCTTCCACCAAAAGCAGAGGTCACTGTGCATGTTGGAAGTGAAGTTTTATAGGGAGTGAGAGATTTTAGATCCTAAGGGCTTGGCAACCTTGATCATTTTGCATAACCAGCATTAAGTTCTTATGACTCCCTGTCCAGCCAACGTTTAAGCCTACTGTGAGGAAGGCAGGTAACTGCACCTGGACAGCCAGATGCTAAATTCTCACCCACTCCAGCACTGTGAGGTCACCAGTGATCATGAGAAAGCAGAGTCTGTCCAACATAGTCCAGATCTGACCAGCCCTGTAGATTCATTGCAGTTGTACAGGAAAGCCAGCTGATTGTTGAGTGCCTTGGCTTATGGGGCATGCAGCAGGACCACTGGAAGCACAACACTGGCTCCAGCAGGGACGGCTCCCTGGTATAGGATTGTGGACCCAGTGGGGTCTCCCCCTGGACATAAGGGTTCAAGCTGTCAGGGATTGAGTCAAGTGCCGATTCTGGGAAGAAAGTGCTCGTGGGAAGAAGACGCAGACATCCTATCATCCCTACAGAGGCTACAAAGGGATTACTTTTGCACAACCTTGGTGCCTGGGAAGGAGGGAGGGAGGCCTGTGCTGATACAGGCAGTTGACTAACACCTCAGCGGTACTTGCTTGCCCTGCTTTATTTATTCAAGCCAGCTTTCTGGGCTCCAAAGGTACATTGCCATCTGTAAATGTCTGGCCCCTTTCCAAAATGATAATGAAATGGAGTTGAAGTGGCGGAGAGTGATATGAATCACTTTCGATGACTGAATGGCCACTTGGGTATATGTCTTGTGTGTCTAACTTTATATAGAAAATACAAAGAATCAGTGTAGTACTAACTGCTCTCTGGAATCACTTACTAATTACATTGGAATAACATGCTATGAGCTAATAAGTAAAACCACAGAGAGACATGGGAAATCAGAGATGGGAGAGAGAGGTGCTTTGCTCCCCTCTATTATATATCTATTGTTTTTGCGATTAATGACCTAAGTGTTAAGGTGACCAAGGATAGCACCCACCTGGGATGAGTAGGTACCTTGGCTCATATGATTATAACTTGGTTCCATTTTGAATATGTTGACATTTTGAACATCTTTGCATGTTTAGAAAAAATAACATATTCAAATAGCAAGCCAGATCAGATGTGGTGGTGCACAACTGTAATCCTAACACTTTAGATGGCCGAGGTGGGAGGATTGCTTGAGCCCAGAAGTTTGAGACCAGCCTGGGCAGCATAGCAAGACCCTGTCTCTACAAAAATATCAAAAAGTTATCCAAGTGTAGTAGGGCACTCCTGTAGTCCCAGCTACTCGGGTGGCTGAGGTGGAAGGATTGCCAGAGCCCATGAAGTTGAGACTGCAGTGGGCCATGATTGTGTCACTGCACTCCAGCCAGTGAGACCCTGACTCAAAAATAGAAAAGAAAAAAGAATAGCAAGACAGCAAGTAATTCCAATACAATCTGACTCAGGAATTTCCAAATAGGATCCCCTGAGATGTTCAAGATATTTTTAGGGTAGAAAAGAAGATACCAAAACTTGTATTTTTATTGTTTAATTTCTCCTTAACGTTTTATAAGGTGTTCAACATGTTAATGCAGTACATATTATTTGCAAAGAAATTGGAGATACATGTTTAATTTATTATTGATTGGGATGTGTGGTCTATAAAGATTGGGAGATGCTAATCCAGAAATCAATAGAAGGATGACAAATATGGACCTGTCTCCAAAACCTTGAGATATTTGGGGTTCCATGCCATGAATTTAAGAAGAGTGACAACTATATCTTGCTGGGCGCTCAGAGCTCCCCTTCACCTTCTGTCCCTGCTCCTACCTGGTGACTGGAGCTGACTCTCCTTTCTAGGCCTAAGATCTCAGTCACAACTGCAGGCTCTTTCCTCCTTCTTCTTCCTCAGGAGTTTCCACCACCATTTCTTTTCTTTACCCTCGTCTTGCTCCCAGATCAAAATATCTTCAAATTGCCTTGAAAGACACAATGAGGGGGTGATGAATCCAATTAGGCTCCTTATCCCACCTCATGATTTAACTGCTTTGCCATGAAATATGTATACAGGATTTTACTTGGACATGTGGACCATGCTCAGCCATTTATTCTTGGTGGAATGGACCCTTGCCACTCTTCCAGGTTCTGGAGAGACTTGTCTGGTCCATTCTGTTCCTGAAAAATCGTAGAGCTCTTTATGCCCTATGTCTAGCCTGAGACTTAGTCTGTGTTGCCAGTACTGGGCAGTCACCTGATTCACGAGTAGCTAAGTCTAATAATGTTGGGTTACTCGAGGCAAGGGGGCGGGGAATGAAAATGTCTTTTCAGAAAATATTTATAGCTCCTCTGAATTGCACAGCAAACTAAAGGCTCCTGGGAGCTCCTGGGAGAAAATGTCACTATTTTGTGAAAATAAAGTTCGTGCCAGCCAGCAGCTTATGATTCCAATTATTCTCTGCAGCAGCAGGGATGTCATGGTAGTCAACAAATAGGATTCAACAGTAGAAAGTTAAGCTCAGTGAAAATGATGACATAGGAAACAAGAATGCAGGACATGGCACGTGTAAAATGGTGTCTGTTAAAACATGGCCAGCCAAGTGCCATCCAGGGAGGGGGACGGAGTTAGATGGCCCACTGAGGAGCAATAAGTGGCTGGAGGAGGAGGACCCAATGATGGGGTGATGAATGGATGCAGGGAGACAGCCAAGGGAGGATGGCAGGTGTGGGTGGAGAAGGCCAGGGCTGCTGTCTGTCTGTCCCTCTTCTTGGGCACTGCAGACTTGGGAACAGCCCTTGGGCCAAGCGCCCATGGGGAGTCCTGAGAGTTAAGTGGTAGGCTCAAGAAGAGTGCCCTCAACCTCTCCAGAACCCGTTGCTACAACTGTTAAGGTTTTCTCATGATCTGCATCCCTTTATCCAAAGGCAGTTTATCGTCCCCACAGTCTCTGTTCCTCTGGACAAAGTCTTAACTTTCCCTGCCCTCCTGTGACTTGAGACTTTTTTGCACATAGGATGTCTGCACGTTTGCTCACGCTACCACTTCTTCTGTGACGATGGCTGCTGTATTGACATCACTCTGGCTTGCGATGGGGTGCGGCAGTGTCCTGATGGGTCTGATGAAACCTTCTGCCAGAATTGTGAGTTGGCTGCCTAGTGAGGGACCCTTTCTAAATACATACACACACACACACACACACACACACACACACACACACACACACACACACACCAAAGGTACCAATACACTTATTTGTACATCAAGTGAAGTTGGGAAGTTTTAACACTTAACTTAAGGAAGCCAATGCCCTAAGTGTTAAGTTTTAGATTATTTTGAGGTGAAGCAGCATAATTCCTATGTATTTGTGTAAATCCCTTCACCCTAGCAAGTGAACATAAAGATGAATGTAAAGATGAAGGAATTGAGCGAGGAGATCTGTGATCCCAGAATAAAATGCAAACTCAATGTGCTTCTGCCTGATCTTAGGATAATTTATGTGTCAAAGCTATACCTTAAATGAAAATTCACTATGAGTCTCCAGTTTGAGTTGCTAATGTCAAACTGCATTATGTCTTGCTTATATTTTCATTTTTTAAATTTTCCAAAGATTTTTTCCTTTCTAAAAATCTGTATGATATATGCTTTTTCAAAAACTAAAGTGAATTGATGTTTTGATGTCATAAGATTTCTTTCAAAATTATCAAAACAACATCAATTCATTTAAGTCAGTCTTAGAGTGTTACATACATAAAAGTGTACCATAAGAAAGGAGAAAAACTAGCCTAGGCAACACAGCAGGACCCTGTCTCTATAAAAAATAAAAATAAATTAAAAAAATTAGCCAGGCATGGTGGCACATTCCTGTAGTTCCTGCTACTTAAGAGGTTGCACCCAGGAGTTCAAAGTTGCAGTGAGCTATGATCATACCACTTTGTTCTCATGGGTGACAGACCCTGTCTCTTAAAAAAAAAAAAAAGAAGAAGAAGAAGAAGAAAAACTGACAAAAGCTTAATGATGTATTGGTTTGAGAAAGGACGAAGAATCTCAAAACCTTAGGTTTGGCTAGGTGTGGTGGCTCATCTATAATCCCAATACTTTAGGAGGCCAAAGAAGGAGGATCACTTGAGGTCAGAAGTTTGAGGCCACCCTGGGCAACATAGTGAGATCCCATTTCTACAAAAAAAAAAATTAAAATAAATTAAATCCTCAATTTTAAGTTTGTCTTTGTCCATTTCTTTATGTGTAACATTTGGAAAGCTAATTATTAGAAGAGAGAACAGATTACCCATTTTAAAACTAGAGAGAATAGTCTTTTATGGAGCTTTGACATGTCTCAAATGGGTGAGTAGTTATCTCAAAATATCCACGAATTTAAATTGACTATAAAGGTAATGGTTTTACTTACAAAGTTCATAAAAGAAATCCAACAGCTAACAGTAGCTCTCCCACACTTCAGTGGGACTTGACCGCAAGGTGGTGACCCACATGGCAAGGAGTTCTGCCCAGCCAAGAACCACGGGTCTGAGTGAAGATGCAGGGGGAGACTCCTTGTTGGAAAAGCCTCAGAAAGCCACTGTCCCAAACCAGCCACCTGCATCGTCAAACACAGAGAAGAGGAACCATTCTACCTTGTGGGGACCAGAGAGTCAAATCATTTCTGTGTTGCCAGGTGAGGACTCGGGGCAGGGCCTCCATGAAGAACCTTGTTTTCTGTAGCTAAACTTGGCTCACAATTAAGTTTATGTTTAAAGTGTATTAAGAAAGTATCTTAAAAGGAGGACGAGAGTTAAAATTAATAATTTGGCCAGCCAAGTGCAGTGGCTCATACCTGTAATCTTAGCACTTTGGGAGGATTGCCTGAGCCCAGGGATTCGAGATCAGCCTGGGCAACATAGTGAGACCTCGTCTCTACAATAAATCAAAAAATTAGCTGGACATGATGGCATGTGCCTATAGTTCCAGCTGCTTGGAAAGTTGAGGCAGAAGGATCACCTGAGCCCAACAGGCTGAGACTGTGGTGGCTGTGAGACTCTGACTAAAGAAAAAAAAATTAATAATTTGGCCAAAAGTGGAAAAAAATGGACATTTTTGCTAATTTATAGTAAGGGACCCTTACTAAATACATACACATACTCCAGAGGTACCAACACACTTATTTGTAAATAAATTAAAGTTGGGGAAGTTTTAACACTTAGCTTAAGGAAACTAATGCCCTAAGTGTTAAGTTTTAGGTTATTTTGAGATGAAATAGCATAATCCCTACGCATTTGTGTAAAGTTCTTCACCCTAGCAAGTGAACATAAAGATGAATGTAAAAGTAAATGTAAAGATATGTCATCTTAAAATGGTCGTAGGCATTAGTAATTCAGTGTTATGCCTCCAGTTTAACTAAATCTGTCATTTTTTTGTTTTTAATAAGATTTTAAAGTATTATAAGATTTCATCATTTTAAATTTATTTTCTTTAAGTACTTATATTTGCATGAATATATGACATATAAACAAGAAATATATATTATCACACTTCCAAGTGCTTTTGTAATTATCTTTTCAGTACCCATACTCTGCATACATTGTATTGAAATAACCTGTTACTAGTTTAATAACTTTATTATGAATGATTTTTGTTGGCCAGGCTCAGTAGCTCAGCTTGTAATCCCAGCACTTTGGGAGGCCAAAGCATGTGGATTGCCTGAGCCCGCTGGGCAACTTGGTGAGACCTCGTCTCTACAATAAATCAAAAATTAGCTGGGCATGGTAGTGCGTGCTTGTAGTTCTGGCTACTTGGAAGCCCAGCAGATCGGCGCTGGGATGTTCGTGAGTGTGCCACTGCACTCCAGCCTGGGCAACAGAGTGCGACTCCAACTCAAAAAAAAAAAAAAATTGTCTATTGTACAAGACATGGAAGGTGCACAATCATTTAAAAAGTAACATGACTTAAAATAACACCCTTTGGGGCAACCCCTTCGGATTCCCTCCCACTGCAGGAGCTTTTCTATCCTCTCAATAAATCCTAATTTCTCAAAAAAACAACAACAGCAACAACAAAAGACCTTTGGAAAATTACTTTTAATACTTTAGTATATTTCCTTCCACTCTTTTACTTATGTACTTTGTAGATTTTTAAGTGCCTTCATACAAATATGTCTGCAAAACATTGAATTCTGTGAGGGGTTTTTCATTTTTGGTTAAGTACACATCCAGCACCTGCTTTTTGGGTTGTTCTTGTGGGTACTGCCACCTACTGGAAAAATCAGTCACTACATGCAAGTCTTGAGATTTGGGGTCTTTTCACAGATGGAGAAGACACCCACCACGTAAGAAACAGTCAGCAGAGAACAGGTGTCTTTGGCAGGACTGTTGAAGGGGTGAAGAGCTGATAGACAGAACTGTTCTCAGAAGCCAGGATGGGTGAATTCTTGCCACGTCACTGTGGAAGAGAGGCCCGTGTGAGTGTGAACGAGTGAGAGTGGAGAACCCTAGTGGGGTACTGGTCTTGGCTGTCTCTTCAGGGCCTTGACTGAGATGCTTCATATGAACCTCTGGACATGCTTCCTCATCTGTTAGCCAGGAATTTCAACCACATGCCCTCCAAGGTGCTGTCCAGCTCTGAGTCTGTCCCAGGAATGATAAACAGCTGATGTTCATGCTTTGTCCCTTCCGCCCTTGCCATGCTAGGTGTCCTCCTTGTGGACTCAGCCTCAGATTCCTTTGGAAAATCACACTCCAGGCTGCCACCTGCAGCTGATAGGTGTCAGTATCTAGTCTCCAATGTATTTGTAGTCTCTTGTTTTTGCCCTTTTTGATAATCAGTCTTTGGCTGGCTTTGAAGATGTAATTGCTCAGCATTTCACAGATGTAGACAGAGTAGATGTCCAGTTATTGACTATAACATATTGGGTTTTTTTCCAATTATTAAGCTAAAACAAATTTACTGTGGAAAATTCAAGAAAGATACAAAGAAGAAAATTAAAAGCATCTAGCAAAATCACCATTAACATTTTATTGCATTTTCTTCTGATTAATTTTATCTGCATACATATACAGACATATTTGTTCATTTTTCACAAAACCAAGATAATATTATTTTTATAAAACTTTTACTTTTCTCATGAGCATCTTCATGTATTATTAAATATTCAAGGGTGAAGAAAGTGGGAAGAAAAGAACAGAACTTTGAAAATGTCAGAAAGAGTTCTCTCAGTATGTGGTTTCTGTTTAGACAGCAGCTGTCTACCCTCCCTCCCCGGTGCTGTCCCTATGACCTCCAGACGAGAGTCTCCAGCTAAAAGTGCATTGTTGTTCATGACAAGTGCCCGAGCTTTAAGTGGATCATCAGTTACCCTAATAAATATGGACAGGTTAAACTTCCTGCTGCCTCCTTCCCTCCCAGACATGTGGTAAGGATACAAGACTGAGCTCATTGAAGACGTGTTCACAGATACTAAGATTAATACTAATAATGTCATATACAAAATGATGAGATGAAGTTTTAATCTATCACCTGGACAAAGATGAAAAAGTGTAAAAGTGAATTTTTCTAAGAGCAGAGAGAATCATGTCTCATGCACATCCTGTGGGAATCAAATCCGTACGGTCTTCCAGAGGGCAGTTTCTGAAGCCTTGCAATTGTGTATGCCCTGGCCCAGTGACTCCACTTTGGGGAATTTATTCCATGTTACTCAGGATAAAATAGAGGGCATGTGCAAATATTTGGTTACACAAGTGAATGCACACTCAGAGCTGCCGGGCAGGAGGTACACAGAGCTCCAGTGTTGCCCGTGTTTGCTCAGCACATAGCAGCACAATGGTGGGATTGTTGATGGATATGGTTACAGCGGTAGGGCCTGTTCTCTGTGTGGTCCAAGTCATTCATTAACAAGGCTATCTTCCTGTATCCAGCCTAGCTAGAGGGAAGAAATCTGATTTTCAGCCCTGCAGAGGCTAGAAAAGTGGTGGTGTATCCGTGTCCACATTATGGAATCTGGTTTTTGGAAACCTGAGAATTCATGGCTGACACAGCAGGTCAACCAAATTCTTTAAGGAGTAGGACTGAAGTATGTACTTAGGAGAACATGCTGTTTCTGGGCAGTAGTGTGGAGTTCTGCCTGCAATTCCATGAGTTCCCTTGCAAAGTATGCCAAAGCCTCTTTGTTTCACTTGTCTCTGTGGAGGTAACTAGAGTGAGCAATTTTGACCTTTGTGTTACTATAGAAGGTATTTTATTCAGAGAGGACATCCTCATAAGGAACATTTATAGGTTTTTGTTGTTTTTGTTGTTGTTTTCCACCTGCCTTAGATTTTTTTTGTGAGTATTTAATCTTTCCTTGTGTTGAACTGTTTCTTTTCTCACTGATAAACCATTTGGAAACTATAGGATCACCTTTCTGAGAAGGCATTTTGAAGTTGTTGGCTGCTGAGAATGTCTGCATAGCTTGTCATGCTCCATTGTGGTCTAGGACAGAACAAATTCTCAAACGGATGGAAGATTCAGTTACAGGAAATTCATGTATCACAAATGAGGATACTAAAGTGGTTATTTCCACAGAACTATTCTGAGGAAAGGAGGTCCTCTTTCATTTACCTTCTTACTTCTTTGGAAACTGTCATGTAATCAATGGATGCCTCTAAGCATACCCCATTATTCTGAGGCACTCAGAGAAATGGTGGTCTTAGAAGAGGCACCCTCTACCTTCTACAAGGTCTCAGGCTACAAGTTTTGAGCACATAATGGGTTACATGATTTTTATTATTTGAAATCTGTTGATGATTTATACAATAAATCCTGTTTTGTAATCACTGGCACACATGTGGGTCAGCCCCAAGGAGCCACTTGTTTTTAAACAAAATGACATGGTTCATTTTATCTAGAAATTAATTGAATACCCTCAGCATTCTGATAGGATTAAAACATTGCACTACAGCCAAATATAAATATATTCATAAACAGTGACATTTTTATTATCCTGCCCTCTCTAGTGGAGAAAGGATGATAGTAAGATGCATGAGCCTGGAATCCTTTTTACTAATTTAGAAGCATTGTAGAGGCTTTTTGAAAGCTTACTTGTACACCACAACAAAAATGAGCAAAGAGAATGTCAGTGAGGACTTTTATAGCTCTAATGTTTACACTGCTTATAACATTTCCAGTATAAGCAGACACTCAGGCCATGTACCATTGGCCAGCCGTGAACATGGAACATTTTCTGGAGAGAACACCATCTTACCTACTTTGAGGAAATGCAGTGTGATCTGCCATTGAACAGCAAGAAAGGAAAATTCTGGTGTCTATGTTAGTTGAACTGGTGTAGCAGGTGGTCACAGGAAGCTGCAAAGCATTCTGGAATGCAGACCCATATGGCAGCCACTTTCCCAGCTGGTATTTCCAACTTTCTTCCAGAGCATGCCTGAAAACAACTTTCATCCAGCTGCCAACTTCCTCTATGAATGTGTGACTGTGCATGGTAAACAGATACAATAGGTCCTTCGGAAGAGAGGAAAAATAAGTTCCTAAGACATTAGCTCTTCTAGAAGGGTCATAACCGAAAAGAATTGATTGCAAAGACAAATGATGTAATTGTTTGTTTTGTTTTGCTGTGATTTGCCACACTGGTACAGCCTGTGATTGGACATGTGGGAGTGGAACATTTCGCTATGGCACGCCATATGC